GAATGTCTTTTTTTGGCCTTTTTCCCTTCTTCTTCAAAAAAACTTCTCAATATATTAGGTGTGTGTGTGTCTATTCCTTAATTTCTTTCAAAGTACCATATCAAGTAAGTTTTGTTCCGCATTTTAGGCGCCTTAAATTTGCACTCGAGCAGTACTCAATCAACATAAAAATTTATTTAGCACAATTTCAGTTACATTTCTCCACGACTGTGTCTCCAAATTTTGTGTCAATGTTTATTCTTAACAACTGTTTGTTAGTTTTACTAAGCAGCAGTTTCAATATAACCCACGAATCAACTCTTTTTGAAAATAAAATTTTGTCCTTGGCTCGAATACATCGATAAATTAAAAAAAAAAAATAGTAGTTAACGTGTAACAAAATATCTTGTTGACACATTTAAATAAATACATCATGTCCGGAAACTCATTACTAGAACTTTCCACGAACGATATACAGCAACAATAAGTTGGTATATAAGATATTGCTTTATCATAGCAATCTTGAAAATTTTTAAGAAATTATAATAACAAATGAAGCTATGAACAGTTAGAAGTAAGTGTGAAAAAAAAAAAAGAAAAAGAAAGCATCAGCTATCAAGAGAATCAAAAAAAGCTGATGTGGGAGTGCAGTGTACAATCCTTTAATAACTAGTAGAGGCTTTCGTTTGCTTTCAAATGGACAAAGATAGAACACTCTGTCACTTTATACAGTAGTGAAAACGTCATGCAGTTTTCAATGAGTGAGGAATTTGCTTCCTGATCTGTTACTGGGACAAATCTCAAATTAAAATATTAAATGATTTTGCCCGTTACAGTGAGCCCACGGGTTACTCTTTTTACTATAATAAATAAAACGTTTTATCTCTGCATCAACCTTACTTCTTCTTCGTCAGCTTCATATTCATATTCAAATACTTTCCAGACAATTTTAGTATCACTGCCAAGTGGGTGTCACTTCAGTCGCTCCTATTCGTTAATGAAGTTTGAGATTTAAACGAAATACTGCAAGTACCAAAACCATAAATAATTATATAAAAAGCAGCAAGTTCAAAAATCACCTTTACCCACCTTTTAAATAAGCACAATCATATCATTTTACAACTGCGTATATTCTTCACTCATTGCATTTTACTCTGTTATTCCTGTGACAATTCGAAAGAGGATGATACATTGCGTATACGAAATACTGCAACACCAAAACCATAAAAGCAACGAGTTCAAAAATGACTTTTACCCACCTTTATTACGAAAAGCACCATCATATCATTTTACAACTACGTATATTCTTCAGTCATCGCATTTTACTCAGTTTTTCCTGTGACAATTCCAAAGAAGATGATACGCTGGGAATAAATGATATTATATTCTTTTTAGCTATTCAGTTTGTCATCCGTAGGAAAAGAATATTACTCAATAACTGTCTTTTTAAACTATCATACCCTGAAATTAGAGAAAACTGTCAGGGTTGAGTCATTTTTGCCAAAAATATAATATTATTCTCCCTAATTGCAAATTTATTAAGTTAACACTCTAAAAGCTTTATTTGATTTTTCGAAGACCCATTGTAAGTCTTGTAAGAATCCTCTGTAGGTAACTCAATTGCACAACTTTCACCTCGCGCCCGGTAAATTTTCATTTTCTTTAATTAATTTATGAGAAAATCCTCGAGGTACTCTTAGTTCAGTATTTCTAATTTAGGCGACTATTATTTGTGCCTAACCAGGATATCGCTCTCTTTATCCCCGTTTTTATATGCTTGGTCTTTTTAGGTGCTTATATGCTTAGAGTTGTGATATTGTCCATAATGGGAGAATTAACCTTTCTTATGATAAAGTTGACATATTATAATTATTGTCAGACAAAGACCATTCATTAAAAATTTCTGGGAGCTGCAGAATTTCTGCGCCACTAGATCAAGAAGGTTGCAGAATTTCTGAGGCAGTAGATCAAGGGGGTTGCATGCAGGATTTTTGCTGCATCCGAACAAGGGGGCTGCACAATTTCTGCGGCATTAGATCAAGAAGGTTGCAGAAATTCTGAGGCAGTAGATCAAGGGGGTTGCATGCAGGATTTTTGCTGCATCAGAACAAGGGGGCTGCACAATTTCTGCGGCATTAGATCAAGGAGGTTGCAGAATTTCTGCGGCATGAGACGAGGGGGCTGCATTATTTCTGCGGCATCAGATCAAGGAAGCTGCATAATTTCTGCGGCATTCGACCAAGGAGGCTGCCGAATTTCTGCGGCATCAGATCAGGGAGGCACAGAATTTCTGCGGCTTTAGATCATGTCAGATCAATTTTTGCGAACAATTGTTCTAAACCTGAGAAATATATGACATTTGAAAACTCAAGAATTTAAACGATTTTTAAAAACTCACCGACAAAGACTAAAGATTTTTGTTACAAAACGTTTTTTGGAAAAGAAAAAATACTTGGAAAAAGTTAAGAATTAACGAAGAAAAAGAAAGGAAAAGAAAAGGGAAAAGGAAAGCAATTACTTGAAATTAATATTCAGCAATAAATTGTGAATGAACTTAGTAGCTTAAGAAATATGATTTTTAATTATAATATGGTATTCAGTTTTAGAAAGACTAAAGGGGCTTGGATTGCTGTTAATCACTAACAATGTTAGGTGTCCTACTCAGAACCAATTCCAAGTTTTTATGGTCTTCCAAAATGTTATAAGTTGTAAGTATTTGATTCAAGTACCCTTCCTTTCACAGAAGCCGACAATTCAGATTATTAGTAATAAAAACGAAAGCCGCTGTGCATTCGGTCATTTAAACATCTCATTACTTACCAAAGACAAAGGTTGAAAACCTCAATGTTTTATAGCAGCGAACCAGAAAAGATTTAAAATTATAGATAATTAAAAATCATAACCCCTTACTAAGTGATATTATTTCATGAGGCCTTTCCTTGTGACTGAAGTAATGGGCCTGAATTGACTTTTGTGTCTAAATTGACCAGTTAAAGAGCATAAATAAGCACTGTCTCATCAACGCCTTTCGTACATGTAAGTGGATATTTTCCTCTGATCCACAGTTCGGGGATGAGAAGTGAAGTCGATACGGTGTTCGGTGTATTGTTCATATTCTTTTGTCAATCATTCTCTTCATCGCAAGGTAAGAAAAATCACCGCGTTTGGATTATCTTTGTTGACCCGACTAAAACCCATGAAAACCAAAACATTTGCCTTCTACGTTTCAATACCGATTATACAGGTATCAACAGTTTCAAGAAAACTGAATACAGGGGTAAATAGCCTTTGAGGAGTTTAAGCTGACGTTGGTCGTGATTAACATTTCGTGCCAGAAACTGTGCATTTGACATTGTAGTCACCTAGCACGACCAAAAAAACAGAAAGAGAAATTAAAGAAAAAAGGAAAAACTAGCAATTTATATTGGACCAATTTGTCGACAAAATACTTACTACTATTTTTGAGCAATTATAAGCATATTTTATCCAACGTTAATGTTAAAGACTGAAGCGATGTGTCATGATTTGTTCTGTTATCAAAGACGTTATAATTCTTCACTTAAAATGTCGTACATCTTAAGTTGAAATTATTTCACTAGCCGTGTTATCTTGCTCTAGTACTAATTCATGAAATTAATAAGCGGATAATTTCTACTTATTTTTATCAATTTTTGCGGTTTTCCAATAGTTCAGGTAGGTGTATATATCCATAAATGTTGCTGTTGTTGCTGTCTCTCGCAACTGACGCTCAGTTACCCTAGGTATCGCCCCTCCTTGAACATTCCTCATCCCTCGTTTCGGAATCCTTTTCTGAGTATGGGAAAATTTTTCAAACCAAGCGTTTTAAGACTTAGCATCAAATTTCCTTTAATTAATGGAAATGAGTCGAGAAAGGTAGTCACTTTGTTTAGTATGAACGTGTTATTCAAAACAAGCATACGAACATAAAAATAAGATATGAAAGTTTAATGATGTAACTGCGAGTCAACAATACCGGAGACTGACAAGCACACTTATTGCTGTAGCCTGCAGACTGATGTCAATTACAAAAAATCCTTAACAAGACATTGCCCTTAATATTGCTTTGCTTATTTTCTTAGGTGAAACAATCAGTTATGTCTTGACTAATTCGACAACTTTCTCAGTTCCCAACGGCACCTTCCGCCTTCGAATCTTGGCCTTGGGTGGGGGCGGCGGTGGATGTGGTGGAATTAAGCAAGGGAGAGGTGAAAGTAGTGATTTAGTGGTACACATAATCCAGATATCAGGCCTAAGGACAGTCAACGTCTCAGTTGGTAGAGGTGGACTGGGTGTAAGGGGACATACAGCTGATTTAAATTCAGAAGGAATGCCATCACAATTTGGAGACTACGTCATTGCTGCCGGAGGTCATGGTTGTGCAAGGAATTTAAGGGAGTATTCCCTGATGGAATATAGAGGAATTCAACTTCTCAGGAAGGTTGACATAACTAAAGGTAATAACAACAACAAATGCAGATAAAAATTAATATTTGTTGACAAAAATTTTCCAGTTCCTCAGAATGAATACTATACTGAAGAAAAATTAAAGCGAAGCTATATCGTTGGACTTAAGGTGGGCTAAACATGCATATTTGCAATATTTACCTTTAATTGGTCATGCTCTGGCAAACGAATTACCAGTATTGAAGTTGTGGGTAACTGGTCTGGGCCGGGGTGTGAGGTTAAAGCTCATTTAACAAAAGGCTTTTTCGGGCTTCCTGGGTCTGGGAGAGCTTCAGATCGAGGTTCCCCTTCCGTAACCTTAAAACCGCTCATGATAAGGCCATCAAATTTACACAGTCAGATTAATTTAATTATCAACTTTAAAAAATACGGGAAACGTCTTGGGGGAGAGGTTGGTAACAGGTATTGTTACTTGAGTTAACAAAAGACAAAAACATCAAAATTTGTGGGAGCATACTACGTTCATCCTCTCCTCTGTCCTAGTATAGTAGAGTTAAAACTCACGGTGAGCCCTTTACATTTCAGGTGCGGATGGTCAAGACGCTGTTCTTTCAACTTCAACTGTACAGGGCGGAGAGGGCGGAATTTTGTTAAACGGTACAGGACCAGTCGGTGATTCTGGTTCAGGAAACATTTCCGCAGCAGGAGGGGCTGGGTACGGTGCAGGAGGAGGCGCAGGTGGAGCTCTATACTTCAGGAACGGTTCGGTACTGATTTATTCTGGAGGACGTGGTGCCGATGGAGTCTTATACCTAGAAATGATTCACCCAGGTAAGGTCACCAATAGCTTTTCGCATATCTAATACTCAGCTAAGGTGGCGGGTAATAACCATATTGGGAACTCACTGGCCCCCTTAATTATCCTGTAAGGATATGATCGGATGTAATATAACAAGCATAAGACGCAGTGTTTCATCACCAGATGGAACGCTGAGAAGAGAGTTGAAAATACGACGCGCAGCGGATCGAGTATTTTTAACGAACTTCGAGGTGTTCATCTGGTGATGAAACACTGTGTCGAATGCTCGATAATACTTCTCAAACAAAATGATTTTAGAAGAAGAAATTAAGGATGCAAAAATAAGCAGTTTTCCATCAGATTTCCAAACTCATTAAACATTAATTTCCTTTGTATTTTCTTTATGAATTATATAATGAGTTTGAGAAGGTTGGTTGACACTATACACTAACCAATATGTTCTATTAAGTGATACAATGTAAGACGAAGGAAAACGTTCATGTCTATTTTAACTCTCTAACAATTGTGCTAATTGTCTCTTATTTCTATAATGTAACAACCGTGCCTTGTCTTTGCAGTATGCTTCCAATCAATTGACATCATCTTTGCGGTGCAGTCAAGCGGTTCTGAAACTGAGTTTGATGACCAGGTGAATTTTATAGTGAAAACAGTAAAGACTTTCAAGATATCACCTGAGCACACACGCGTTACTTTGATAAGTTATGCAAATAAAGCTTATCTCAAGTTTGGTTTCCAAGACTACACAGACTCGCAAAGCCTACTTCGGGGACTTTATGCCATAAAAAGTGATCATCTAAACACTAGTTCACGAGTTTCGTTCATCCCTGTTTATGAGACGACATTGATAGCTTTTTATGAGAAAAGGCTCAAGGCTTCTCAAGCTCTAGTTTTATTGACTTATGCTAGCAATTTTACACAAAGTAGTCAAATGGAAAACTTGGTTAACAATTTCAAGAGTCAGAAAATTTCCATTTCCGTGGTTGTCATGGATACAAAGGCAGAATTGTCAGACCTTGCTGGTTTGGCAGGACATGAGCATAATGTACACGCTGGAAATATGAAGTCAGTTCCTTGGATTGGGGACATCATTTGCAGAGGTAGGTCATTACATACCACCTATTAGCCTAGAGTGAGGTCATTACGGGAAATCTCTCATGCAGGCTTTGCATTGATTGACGTCGCTTTCGTTCGGTCAATTAAAATGAATACAAAATTTAAAAACATTCACACACACGGGAAGTAATTTTCAGCATCCGCGCGCAAGAGGTCATTCGAGGTCGTGTTCACTAAACCTAAACAAACCTGGAGATGCGATCGAAACCACAAGACAGTTTTTTTGATAATGATAAAGTTTGGACCTGTGCCTCCGATCAATTAAAAACAATAACTTGTCAGCGGATAACTTAAAAAAAAGTCCCCTCGACGAGTTCTATAGCCAGCGATACAGTCATGTGACACTGGTCAGCGGATACCTTTTTGAAAATTTTGCCCGCTTATTAACTTATCAGAGCGCGCATACTATTGTAGCCAAAAATGCCGTCGCAATATGTGGGTTACTTTCTCAGGTTAAAGAAAAGAGATTTACTAATCAATTGGAATGATATTTTAATATATAGATTTAGCCAGGGCTAAAAGCGAGGCTCCCATTAATAAATTTAAATTAAACAATAAACTTGTATTCGAATTCCACAATTCAGTTAACTTTAGAGGCAATTTTATGTGACTTTTGAGGGAAAGGCTACCTGATTTTAGAGAAAAATAATTTGCAAACAGCCCAAGAGTGAACCAAATCTTACATCGAGTTGATAGCTAGCCTCATATGTACACCCAAAAACTGGTAATCATCTTCGATCACATTTAATAGCCATAATAGCTCTTGGTCACCGTAGATTAACTAGTGGGAAAAAAAATCAGGCCAACTTTTTTGGGTTCGACAAGTTTACTTTGCAAAATCTTGTCAACAAATCTGGGTGCGTGTAAACCAACCTTTTATACCATTTATACATCACATCTGAGGTGAAACAGTAGTATGAGGCACTGTTTTTATCATACCGGCAGACCTCGGACAGAAAGCAGTATTTCACAATACAAATTGCACTCATTCAATATTCATAAACTGTTAAAAAAATTTCCAAAATCACCTATACGACCATCCGGTTCTCACTTTTGTAGTGCGAGCTGTGGCGAGTGTTTGAATGAACATTAACAGAGTTACGCTCCAACATTATAAAGAATTTATTCTGTTTATTTTTTATTTAATGGTTTATTAACGCGCGGCATTTTGAGTACTCCTGCAAGCGATGTTCACTGAACGACTGAAAACAATCGGCACAGCGATTAAAATTACAAGAGAGACTACTAACAATCAATAAAAGAAATATAATTCGGTGAAACATATACAGAAACAACAATTTTCATTCAGAAAGACAAGTATTAAAGTATCCCTAAAAATCCTGAGTCTTCAAGCTTAAAGTTAACTTTATGTTTTAAGCCGGCTTCCCGGTGTTTGCTTTTTTCAAAGACGAACTCGAGGCAAGAAAATCGCTCAAAGCTTTCTTTTCCGGCCAGAATTATAACTAAATATTCTTTGGAACGTTTTCTTTCTATTTGCGGTGAGAAACTGTCTTAAGGCTTTTTAAAGTTCTGTAAGCTTATATCAAACCTGATACTCGGTCAGATCATTGTCTCAAATCTTACAAACGTGCATAAACTAAATGACCGCATAAACTCCGCTCGACTTCATTAAATAAGATCTAAAAAAACAAACATCAAATACAATAATTTCTCTGGCTTACCATTCGAGATGCAGCTCCTGAAAGGTATCAAGAAAAGCCAATATCGCTTCAGACTTTGCAATCCTCTTACGCATCAAGCAAGGTGAAAACGAAAACGATGCCATCCGAAATCGGATTTCCGACTTTGAGAAGCGACGTATTCCTCAACCAAAAACCCAATAAACAAACTAGCCATGAATAACAGAGGACTCCTGATAGCAGCTGAATTTCATTTTGCACATCCAGTGGAAAAAGACACTTAAAAACATCACAAGTTGACACAAAACTCTGTCAGCTTCAGCTGTCAAAGTAAACAAGATTCAAGATGCTGCATAAATTTTCCGCATGAACTCACCTGTCAAATTTTGACCAATCAGAGCATAAAAATTGGACGCAGAGCGTGACCAACGCGTGACCATGGTGAGAAAAGTCAAAAGCAACTGTCTTCCCTGCCTGTAACAGCTGGCTGAATTTTCGCGTCCGAGGTCAGTTTGCAATCAAAATTTTAATTGTGTAGCACATAAACACAACATATTTCATATGAATTTAGAACAAACTTGAACTTGAGCCTGCGATCACTTGAAAACTAGTAACTTGTCAGCGGATAACTTCAAAAAAATACTTGACATCGAAGGGTCGACACCTGAGCCCGCGATACAGCCAAGTGATACTGGTCAGCGGGTACCCTGTTTTGACAGCTGTCAATTGATCAAATCATTGATGTCCAATATGTGTGCATTATCAGTTTAACTAGTAAAAGTATGAGATTGAAGATTGTTCGCGATCTAGTAAAACAATTAACTGGTCAGCGGACAGCTTCCAAACAAATCACGTCACCTCGATGAGTTGACACATGAGCCCGCGATATGGTCATGGGATACTGGTCAGTGGCTATCCTGTTTTGACAGCTGTCAATTGACCATATTGTGAATGTCTTAAAATCCTATATTAAAGATGTGGACTTGCCAAGACACGCCTGAGACACCCCTCCCTTCCTTTTGATAGTCTCCCCTACCCCACCCGTACAATCTGTAGACGCGTACGTACGTACGTACGTATGTACGTACGTACGTACGTACGCTCGGTCAATCACGTGACAACCAAACGAAAAGAGGTTGACCATATTCCATGAGTATGGGGCTCTGTTCAACGCGCGCTTCGCGCGCGCGGGAGCCCCGCTATTAATGTATTAGGCAACGTTTTCAAGTTTGACTCTAAGAGGTTTATTAACAAAAATCGGTCAAAATTCGTCATTGTCTCCTGTCACCATAGCTCGGCCAATAAATCGTTTTCCTTCTTTTTTCACAGACCACTCCTTACATCAGTAACCAGAACTGTTTTTTTCTCCGCTATCGTCATTATGACTTCATTTTCTTGAATTTATTCTGAATCCATATATGTCCATTTTTCCCCTAAAAATAGCTATAAAACTAAAGGAACGAGTATGATGAACCATGAAGTAGGCTAATACATTGAAAAACCTTGACAATAATGGTGTCGTGCGTAGCCGGGCCAACCAACAGAAAGGAGGATGTCAGTCCATCGACTTTTTTTCCTTTGCGCTAGTTGTGAAATCATTGATAATTAGGAAGGAACTACAGTAGTCCACCCGCCATCTCAAATCTTTTATTTTGCCAACAACAACTACAACAAGACCTTACACCCAATTCCGTCTATTTATAATATGCTTGTGTATTTTTTAGATTCACATCGAAAACAGGACGCTAGCACAATCATCGTTCAGTCCCCATCACCCATATCACAAAATAGAACAGCGACTATTCTGTCAACGCCGGTGTTTTCTGGTTAGTATATATCACACTATTCTAAAAGGACACCCTTGAAAGAGCGTTCCTACTCTAGCTCGGTGCTGATCGATGACTTTTTTGTTTGTCGTTTTCTCCTGTAGCTGTCCGTAGTACTCCGGTGGGCGGTAGCAGCCTCCATATGCCTTTACCTTCTAAAACAGTGACTACAACCGTCACATCACGGGTTCTGAAGCAGGCAGTCAGTCATAAGACAATTCAGGAACTGGAAAACGGTAAATAAATTTACTGGGCTTAGAAAGAAGAACAATATCTCTCCTTGTACTAAATTTGGTCGTTCCATTAGTATAAATTCTGGCAAGTGGCGGAATGAGCGAATCACTCCGCACTAATGTGAACCTTAAAGAAGCATGCAGTGTGAAAAAGGTTGATTTCTAAGAAGTTGACGTCAAGGGCCTTATCTACTTTCCATTTCTAGTCGACCGCTAATGGTCAGATCCTTATTTGATGAGTGCTTTGAGATTTGAAAGACTAGTTCTTAATTAAGGAAAGAAAGAGTGTTTATTTCCTTTTCTCTTCCTCTTATTTTATTGTCTCAGATTTGAAGGACGTTCTCAGTATAAACTTGACTTCAATCAGTATTGAAGATCTATCAAGAGTACAGGTGAGGAGATCGAGAAAAAATTAAATTGCTAATTAAAACTCAAAACTGCTTCAGTATATCTGTCATACCCTGACAATTTCACTGAGGAAAATAAAACAAAAAGAAAGAAAAAAAAAAGGATATTTCTGCTACAACAGTTGTTTAAGAATATTGTGATTATTGCCATCTTTTGCCTCCTTGCTGACCGGATCAATGGCTTTCGTTTAGACTTGACTAAATCAACTTTATTAACTTTTAGTCCTATTTTGGAGTGTATTCGACGTAAATGATTTGGCCCAATTCAGTCGTTTTCTTGTATCATTTTTTTTAAAAAAGGCGACTTCAGCAAATAAGAAGTTAGTTATCATTCATTTTTAGAACTCAGCATCTACTTTTTCGTTTGTTTTATAAGAGCTATGTTTCTTTAGCTGGAGATTTACTTACGGAAAGCCACAGAATACCAAACGCCTCTGAGGTAAGTGTTACCATTTAAGTCTAATAGACTTAGGGGGATTGCAAGTTTTCCAGTCAACCGAACAGGTATTGACCAGTAAATTGTAATTATCCTGTTCAATTTAAGGTATGACTGATGTCTTAGTTAATAACGTATATAATGATATATTTTTACAATCAGTTTTAGTTGAGTGGAGCTGCGCTGTTCGACCAGTGGTGAAAGAGGAAAAACTTTTATTAGATATCTCTGGTTCTTCCTCTGGTTCGTGTCACGGGACACCGACCTAAATGGGCAGTCAGCCACATCGCTTGAAATCTGCCACATTTTTGAAAGTTTTTTAACTACTCTTTACAGCGGTTCTCGAATATTCACATGGTTAACGAACAAAAAATTATGGAAATAATGAAAGATGTTTGGCTAAAAATGTTGGTGAAGTACTCTAAAAATTTGCACTGGATATTTTATTAAGCACTTTTTCCTGTGTGG